TCGAAACAGTGTGATTGACACAGGATGTGAGTCTCATGGTCTTTATTATCTCCGTCCCTCTACACATGTTAGTACAGCTTATGGAGTCTCCCTCTCTTCTTCATGCTCAGCTAGGTCATCCAAGTCTTGCTAAGTTACGTAAACTTGTCCCCGCCTTGTCCAACTTATCTAGTTTGGCGTGTGAGTCATGTCAATTAGGCAAGCATAGTCGTACTTCCTTTCCTCGTAGTTTCACACGTGGTGCTTCGTCCCCTTTTGCCGTGGTTCACTCGACATTTGGGGACCTAGCCGCGTTAAGTCTACTTTAGGTTTTCAATACTTTGTTACTTTCATTGATGATTATTCCAGATGCACTTGGTTATTTTTGATGAAAAATCGTTCGAATTATTTCATATCTTTCAAACTTTTTTTAATGAAATTCAAACTCGGTTCGGTGTTTCTATTAGAGTTTTGCGTAGTGATAATGGCCGTGAATATCTTTCTCATTCTTTTAAACAATTCATGGCTTCTCACGGTATTTTGCATCAAACTTCTTGTGCTTATACACCTCAACAAAATGGTGTAGCTGAACGTAAAAATAGACATCTTATTGAAACAACTCGCACACTTTTAATTCATGGAGATGTTCCTCAACATTTTTGGGGTGATGCTCTTCTTACTGCATGTTATCTCATTAATCGCATGCCTTCTTCGATTTTAGATAATAAAATACCTCATTCCATTTTATTCCCTCATGAACCACTTCATCCTTTACCTCTAAAAGTTTTCGGGTCTACATGTTTTGTTCATAATTTCAGTTCTGGTTTGGACAAACTTTCTCCTAAATCACATAAATGTGTTTTCTTAGGGTTTACAAGATCACAAAAAGGATACAAATGTTTTTCTCCTTCTCTTAACCGTTATTTTGTGTCAAAAGATGTCACCTTTGATGAGTTGTCTCTTTATTTTAAAAGTCAAACTTCACCTCTGTCTCCATCCAATCTTGTCAACACTCCTAATACATTTAATGTTCCTGTTGTTTGTGACCCTCTAACTGTGTCTTCTTCACCATTAGTTCCTGCTCCGCAGTCAGCTTCTTCTTCACCATTAGTTCCTGCCTCTTCTTCTCCACTGCCTCTTCAGATTTATAGTTCTCGAAACCAATCACAACCACCACCATGTGACTCTACTCAAGTGCCAACTACTCTGTCTCCTCCGGATCTGACACATGAGTCTGACCTTCCCATTGCCCTTCGAAAAGGTATCCGTTCTACACGTAATCCCTCTCCCCATTATATTGCTATGAGTTATCATCGACTGTCATTACCTTTTTATACATGTCTTTCCTCTCTTTCTTCTGTGACCATTCCAAAAACTGTCCGTGAAGCTTTAGCCCATCCTGGTTGGCGTCAGGCCACGTTACCGTCTCCGGGAAATCTGTTGTTGGTTGCAGGTGGGTGTTTGCTATCAAAGTTGGACCCGATGGTACTATTGATCGCCTCAAAGCACGTCTTGTGGCCAAAGGTTATACTCAAATTTTTGGGTTGGATTATGGAGATACCTTTTCCCCTGTGGCAAAGATGACTTCTGTTCGTTTATTTATCGCCATGGCCGCTCTTCAACAATGGCCTCTTTATCAACTAGATGTTAAAAATGCTTTCCTCAATGGTGATTTGCAAGAAGAAATCTATATGGAGCAACCTCCTGGGTTTGTTGCTCAGGGGGAGTCTTCTGGGATGGTATGTCGTCTTCGCAAATCCCTATATGGCCTAAAACAGTCTCCTAGGGCCTGGTTTGGAAAGTTTAGCAAGGTTGTTCAACAATTTGGTATGACTCGGTGTGAAGCAGATCACTCTGTCTTTTATCGACACTCGAGTGCTGGATGTGTTTACTTGATAGTATATGTTGATGACATTGTTCTTACAGGTTGTGACAACCATGGCATCTCTCGGTTGAAACAACATCTCTGTCACCATTTTCGGACCAAAGATCTTGGCAAACTTAGATATTTCTTGGGTATTGAGGTGGCACAGTCCAATGATGGTATTGTTATATCTCGGAGGAAGTATGCCATAGATATTTTGGAGGAAACTGGGTTGATGAGTTCAAAGTCTGTTGATACACCCATGGATCCCAATACTAAACTTCTACCAAATCGGGGGAGCCTATATCTGATCCCGAGCAATATAGAAGATTGGTTGGAAAATTGAATTATCTTACGGTTACTCGTCCCGACATTTCCTTTGCGAGTCAGTGTGGTAAGTCAATTTCTTAACTCACCATGTGAAGATCATTGGAATGCAGTCATTCGTATCTTGAAGTATATTAAAGGATCTCCTGGAAAAGGATTGTTATATGGTTCTAATAACCATACAAGAGTTGTTTGCTACTCGGATGTCGATTGGGCAGGATCTCCTTCGGATAGAAGATCTACATCTGGATATTGTGTCTCCATTGGTGGTAACTTGATCTCATGGAAAAGTAAGAAACAAAGTGTTGTGGCAAGATCCAGTGCAGAAGCGGAATATAGAGCTATGGCCTCAGCTTCCTGTGAACTTGTTTGGCTCAAGCAATTGCTTAGAGAGTTACAATTTGGAGATGTCACTCAAATGACACTTGTGTGTGATAATCAGGTCGCTCTTCATATTAGTTCTAATCCTGTCTTTCATGAGAGGACCAAACACATTGAGATTGATCTGTCATTTTATTCGAGAAAAGATTATGTCTGGAGATATCAAGACTGAGTTTGTTAACTCAAGTGATCAGTTAGCAGATATTTTTACTAAATCTTTACGGGGTCCTAGAATTGATTATATTTGTAACAAGCTTGGCACATATGATTTGTATGCTCCAGCTTGAGGGGGAGTGTTAGATATTGTTTAGATATTATTTGATATTGTTAAGATATTGTTAGATATTGGTAACCACAATATCAAACAATATCTTCTGTTTATTCTGTTACTTTCAGTTACTCTTTTAGTTGTATCTCTTTACTATAAATAGACCAACCTATATGTGATTTATACACAAGGAAAATTAATTTCAAACCCTATTTTCTCTATATTCAACAGGTTCAATACCACTTACCATAAGTCAATTGGTTCTACACCATTTGAAGCGGTTTATGGACGTAAGCCACCAATGTTGGTGCAGAGTGTTCCTGGTGAAATAAGGGTGGAAGTTGTGCAAGAGGATTTACGGGATCGTGATGAAGCAATTAAACAACTAAAGTACCATTTGGAGAGGGCAAGGGATCGGATGAAGAACCAAGCTAATAAGCACAGGAAAGAAAGGAGTTTTGAAGTAGGAGACATGGTCTTTCTCAAACTAAGACCTCACAGGCAGTCATCAGTAGTTGCTAGAATCAACCCTAAGCTTTGTGCCCGTTATTATGGTCCATTTGAGATCTTAGAAAAGATTGGGGAGGTTGCATATCGTTTGAAGTTGCCATCATCATCAAGGATTCACCCAGTTTTTCATGTGTCACTATTGAAGAAGGCACATGGAACTCACTCAGTAGAAGTTGAATTACCTCTCAATTTGGAGGTAGGAGATGGGGAGATAACTAAACCAGAGTCTGTGCTAGCTGTGAGGAAGACCTCTAAGGGAGGAAGGAGGGTGACGGAATGGTTGGTGAGTTGGAAGGGAAAATCAAGTGAAGAAGCTACCTGGGAGGATGAGTTGATTTTGAGAAGCCAATTCCCAGAACTGAAGCTTGAGGACAAACAATTTCTTATAGGGAATGGCATTGATAAGGTTCAGGAGAACATTGGGCCGTAAGAGTTTTTAGCAGATATATCAGCAAAAGGCCCAAAGGAATTGATTGTCTATACTCGAAGGAAGAAGATGGCAAATTAGAAAGAATGGATATTGAGAGTTTGTTGGAGGAGAGAGAATGAATGTTTCTTTCTATTATTACCTTTTTGTTTATATCATCATGAATCAATTTTTGTTTATATCATCATGAATCAATGGGGGGAGAGGGGAGAGTATTTTGACTATGCCTAAGGGAGAAGAATAGCATTTCTCTATTCAGAGTTTGGCTCTGGAACTTTAGAGGGTTTTTCTCTAAAGTAGTTTTCTTTTTTTATAATCAATACAAAGTTACCCTGTTTTTTTTTTTTATCATTTGTTTGCACTTATTTACTCTTGAAATTTGTTTCTGTATTATGAAGGTACCAACTTAGGAATCTTTCCACAATCTATAGGAGAAGATGAATTTTATACTTCATCAGTCAAGAAAAGTACATAATATCAATTTTGTTTGATGCTACTGATAGTGAAGGACCACAAGGTAGAAAAGTTGTAAACTACAAGGATTTGGCTTTGAAAGGAAGGAATTAATTAATATGAAGATCAGTTGTTGACATATAATAACTTAAAACATTGAAAACATGTTAAAGTACAACAACTCCACAAGTACCTACACGGTTAAAGGTATCGCATATTTGGTAAAATGGTTACCACAAGACAACCATGAAGCTGGACTTTAACACCCTATACCCTCGTTTTCCATATCATCTTTATACAGGGCAATTAGTTTGCTTAAAACGTCATTAATAGGTCACTGAAACGGTCAACCAATGCACTTTTTTAAGAAGGTAGAATAATTTACTATTTTAAGACTACAGATAGCAGGATTAACCTAACTGGTACATCCACATAAGTCCTGAATACGAAACATGAATGAACTCTCTCCAAAAAAAAGAGCATACCAGAAAGATTTCAAACAAAATTGAGAACAAATGTTTTACAACAGCAGCCTTCCTAATGTAGTATCAAAGCCAGTATTTGGTATTCAATGAGTTAAGACTATAAGACAATTGGCCAACATAAATACTGACTCCCTTTGTTGAATATCTGCATGTGAAAATAGATATCTTGATCTGAATGCTTGCAAAGCTACTTACAGAATTTACAATTTGATTTATCACATTTTATGCCTCCACTCTCAAGAAGGAGTTCATGATGATCATATCATTTTGCACTATAAAACATCCTCAGCTTCATCACTTTAGAATTTAGAGAGGATTGGTATTATCATCAATAAAGAGGTTTCGGGGAACCTTCAAATTTAATTGTTGGGTATCCCATTCTGCATCTGTCAACTTTTGAATGAAATCCTCAAACCTTTCTTCCAATTCCATTAGGCTGTTAGCGATTTTATCACAAATATTAACATTGCTATCCCAGTTCTCACTTAGCCAGAAAGTCTGCCATACACTTCGTAATACTGAAACACTTGTGGCTCCAACCTGCAGTGTCATTATCAATGAGAAGGTACAGTAAACCTATCCAGCTTAAAAATTAGGCACTCCTAAATTTCATAAATAATCCTAAAAGCCACATCTCAAAGACGCCTTATCATGTGTTGTTTTGTAAGAAAGTCTTTCCTCAGATTGCTGTTTTGTGTTTGATTCCTCAAGTTGCTGCTTCTTGGAACTTTTTCTTCATGACATTAAATGCTTTTTTCCTTGTTTCTTTAAAACCTCACTAATGCTGTCAAGTTGGTCCTTGAGGTGGCAGATATATATATATATATATATATATATATATATATATATATATATATATATATATATATATATATGTATATATATGTATATATATATGTATATATATTTTAAATAGTTCTATCCTCTATGGAAATTTGGAGAAGTAGAAGTATTAACTTGAGTAAACAAAGACAATGCAGCAAATACACGTCCCCTCATACAATAGCCCTTATGGGCTAGAAGTATGGAACAATGAAGAAGACCACTTACCGTGTGCAAAAATCCAACTTTTAATTAAGGAATGGTGGTAACAAGGATTAAATTTCTAGGAATTTGGTCAAAGAGTATATAAATACTATCCAACTATCCCCAAAGTGGCTTATGTTTTTGGATGAAAGATCATGAATAACAATAAAATTTATGTCCAATGAGGATTGTTTTTAAGTTAATTCTCACAAGGGAATTTGAAGCGTACCTTGAAAGAAACATAAAACCTCAGATCTTCTTGCTCCTGATTCACCATAAGAATATATTTCTCACTTGCATATAATTTTAGAAGTGCTTCCACCTGTTCTATTATAACATAATTATACGATTCCAACAAGGCTTTATTTGAACAAAAGAGAAAATAATTATGAACCTCTTGGTTTCCTTCATAAAATTGTGACAATAGCAGCAATAGATCCTATACCATAAAGTGAGATCTCTCCACACCATCCATTTTCTCCAAGGGCAAGCCAAAAATTATTTTTGGCTTCATGAATTGCGACCAAGCTAATATATTCTCTTCTCTGTTGCAATCTGTGCATCCTGACATAAAACCATTCGGCAAATTGAACATCTGAGAAGGGAAATAACTGATACAGCATAGTATCCAGTTTGTCAGATTGTAACCTGGAACAGTAGAATGTAATACATATGATTTTACCAGTATGCGAGCACGCTTTAGATTTATCTGCAAATAGTTACACAAAAGATAAATAACTGAACATATCATTAGGATAAATATTGGTGGATTTTCTCCCCTACTGTTCAGATGAAATTGAAGGGATGCAGCTGTAAAATATTCTTTATGTTCTAAGTAATGAACCTCATACATGAAAAATATTTGGTGCCCACCTATGTTAGAGAAGAAAAAAAGAACAGCATCCCTTTTGAGCAGCATGGTTACAAATTCATTTGTTATCTTTCCCATAATTTTTTCTTTCTTGCTATTGGTACATAAATAAGCCACCACACAAGGAAAACCGGAAACAGAATGCTTATTGTTACTAATACTGTAATTCAATATCTTTACTTATAAGTCTGACATGAAAGCTCCTTCTACCAGCTTGCATGCATACAGATTTATATGCATTAGATTCCATATTAGAGTACACCCTACATGCTTACTGTGTTAAACTGGAGAACTGAAAGTGACTCATAGCGTAGCCAAAGGTGCAGACATCGCATACTCAACCAAGTCAATGAAAGTATGCCATATGATTTTACAAGGCCTGGTGTATCCTGCAATAAGAAAATTGAGAATAGAATGTGTCAACTAACAGTGTCTTGGTGCCAAGAACTAAAGCTCTCCTGAAAATTTATGTATTTTACCAGAATCAATATGCCTAAAGCAAGGCCAACCAGTTGAGCAACCACTTCCCAAACTTCTTCCTGAGAAATTTTGATGAAACAATTATATGAGAAAAACCCTTTACATTTTCCAAACTGTGGTATATTGACAACCGGTGAATCAAATCACAAAACTGTTCAGTGAATAACATTTGCATACTAAAGGCGTTCACTCTAGGTCCAACATCTTGATTTGGCTTTCTGGCTTAACTATTTGTCTAAGAACATATTAAAAGCGTTGTCACAACCTGGTCTGGTATATGTAACTAAGAAAAAAAATAAAAAAAGTAATTGTTTTGTCATGAAGATTAGGTATTAAGACTTTACTTAAGGCATCTGGCTCTTAGTATAATATCAGCCTCATTGGGTCAATAACTGATTCTCAGTATATATGACTGAGTAGCTCAGTGAGTCAATCCCTACCCAAGAGCCTCATTAAAGTTGTTTGATAGAGATAAGAAGGTGAATATAAATTAAGAAATTAAATCAGCCTCCATCATTGCTCTAAATAAAGGGACCAACACAAAACTTTTCTTCGCATGAGAAACATATATTCAAGAGGGAGAATTTAAAACTTAAATTAATGCTTGAAAGCATGAAAATAACAAATACCAACGCAAATTTCATACAACTCTAGGTACTGATTTCTATTCTATGTTTACAATGTGAGAGTATACCTTTGCTGCTACTTCTCCCAGATTTCCTGAAATTGCAAAGTGATTTTGAATCACACGAAAAGAAGGATCTTTTAGTCCTCTTGCTACAGCCTGTTTGAATGCCCCCACAGAAAATTACAAAATCATATATAAATTGGCTATAAACAATCCATCTGTATACATTTAAGTATGGAATTACAACTGCTTTTAAATCATTATTTTCAGGTATTATGTTAAAAAAATAATTTGTCATAACTACTCATTTTCAACATGTGGTAATCCTCCTTTACAAGGACTCGGCGGTGAACATTTTGGCATTAAAAGTTAGTTGCTAGGATTTTGTTTGGGATGATACTCAGAAAAGCGAAAACAAACAAAATTGTTCGCCAATATTCATTTGGAATGTGAAGAGAAAGGCATAGAAAGGGTATAATGAAAGGTCAAACTCTCAGTGTAAAAAAGTATAAAAACGGCAGGGAACCTACCACCCCTCTCCAAAAGATAAAATCCAGTAACAACCAATTTCAAATGTTCTGAACATAGCTACATATCTTCTAAATATTAACTAATAATAGTGGTTCTTCTAATAGAGTAAAGATGCATAATAAAGTACCTTGGTAAGATTTCCAAGAGATGCCAAAGGAAGGAAATAGCCAGGATATAGTTGGGTTGTCAGATCAAATATGCTGCATGAGATGTCAGTAGTGTAAGACTCTCTCTCTCTCTCTCTAGAGCCAGATTTCGTTTTGCATTTTTCCATAAGAAAACAAGGCAAACTGCACAGACCTTCCAGCACTGCCAATGAAGTCCGCATACATTCTCCATTGCTTGGGATCATCATCAAAAAGACTTCCAAACCTCCCGCCTGAAAGAAAACCCAGCAACATTTAGCTAAAAATAAAAAATCACCTTCTCCTTCCTTCGGCTTACTTTGTAATTTGAAAATGCCATACCGATGAATAAGCGTCCAACAGCTCCAATGCCATCCTTTGAGACCCACCTAATAATGTTATAGAGCAAGAGCATACAATTAACCAAAAAAATTAAATTAACAAAATAATGACAGCATGAAAGTATTTAAGATATTAGTACATGCATATAAATGTTGTACTTGTATACAAAAGCATAGGCTCTAAAATTTGAGTCACCTGATGGCAGCAGCAGAAGCAGCTGCTGTGCTTCCAGAGAAAGAGCCAACACCAACAGCCTGTAGTTAAGTAGAAATTTTGACACGCCAGACAGAAAGCCAAGTCATCATTCCTTGCATTTATGTGAAACAGAAATAATTTTAAGCAAAAGAAGACATTGTTATGGAGGAAATAAAAATGCACAAAACTTTGCTGCCCAAACACAGAAACAAGAACCAAAACCTTTATAACATAATTTAAAGGACAAGAAACAACATTTTAAAAGGATATGACTTCCTAACATACATCGGGAAACTTTAACCACTATCAGAAAATGTACTCAAGTAGCAAGTACATGCCAGAACTATCTCTAATGATTTTCAAGATTTGACTTTAAGCTTCACTTACATGAACAACAGAGCTTTGTGAAGTGTACTAATTATCAGTTTCAATGGTAAGCACGCCAAATGCACAAAAAGAACCATATAACTACACCAAATATTCCCATAAAAACATCCTTGAGAAAAAATCAGTAGTTTGACCAAGATTGACATGCCTTTAGGAGACTCGAAGTGACTAGGGTGTTACAGATCCATCCAGTCACATTGGTAGGGAACTGCAGTAACATGTAACGTAAGTAATCATCTGAAACTGATCCTGCATCATGACTGAGAAAGTTAAGTAAACAAATGGTTTGTCCCCAACGGTACAGAATCACTGAAGCTAAAACTCCAGAATCTATCTGAAACATCCACTAAAGTGTTTAATGTTAATCACCAGGAAAGCCCACTGGTAGGATAAAATCTTTGATTATGTCTGGAAGCCAGGATAGGCTTTCATCAACGGAATGTGGATCCTTGTTTGACGTAGTAGACCTTTCCTCTTCAACAAGAAAGGTTTGCAACTGCGAATTATCACCTAACACATATCTGCTCATAAGAGGGGGGAAAGTCATAGTTGAAGCCTGGTTTATTGAAGACAGCCAATGTAAAATTTATGTATTTGAGGAAATGACGATGATAATAAAAACCACATGAGGTTGCTAGAATATTCCCAGGCAAAGCAAACACAGACCAATATTTCCTTTTTGTTCATAGTTGATGCATGCAGACATTGTAGTTGTATCTAAAAAGCAATTAGTATTTCATTCAGTTCTTCTAACGAAGTAGAATGTGTATTAGCATTCCATGATCCCCCGACTTCATATAACAAGTAATGCTAGTATGGTACTAACACAGAAACCTTCATGAATGTACATTTACAGAATTTAAAAAGTAACCGAAGGAAAGAGACAAAATTTCGGGTATAGTTGAGCAAAAACCTCTTAGAAGTACCATTGCTATATCTCTCCACCAAAATCACCCGTGATGAAACCTGACCTCTGAAAAATAAAAATACTGAAGCAGTTTGTTGGAACTGTGAAGAAGAGCAAATTCAGAAGTTTGGTTTGATTAAGAAAGCTAACCCCTAAAAAATTTCTCCAAAATCATTTTTTTTTATTCTGTCACAGATAACTTATCCAAATTTTGTTGACTGAAATTGGCCTCTGGAATCAAATATGTTATCAACTTGCAAAAGTTATATTTCCTCAAGGAAATTTCAGTATTTTCCTCTCTATAATAGATAATTTATCCACATTCCCTAATCCTCCATAAACTACTGTACTTTTTTTGTGAAGAAAAAAATTCAATACTTTCCCCACAAAAAATCTACCCTTTAAAGTTTTGTTAGCAAAACAAAACAACCAAAGAAAAAAGTATCAGACCTCCCATTATCAGCATCATCTTCGAAGCTAGAACGCTCAGAAGAGCATAGAACTTGAAAGCAACGAGTTCTAACTCTCTTTATCTTCATCTTCTCCACATTCATTGAAGAATTGAATGCACTTGAAGAGAATGAAAATTGTAAGGTGTGAGACATTGAAAGAAAGAACAAACAAACTCCGAATTATATTGAATTGTTAAACAGTCAAAAAAATTGAAGAGTTTGGTTCCCTGCTTCTTCTTGTATGTGTCCAAGGCTCAAGCTAACGTAGTTAACACTATCCACGAAACTGGAAGAGAGTTACAGATATGCCCCGTATATAGTTTTAGGCCTAATGGATACGCGTGTGTATTTAGTTTTGGGCTTGATGGATAGGCCTGTATTTAGTTTTGGGCCTAAAGGATTTTATCTTCCGTTTAATTTAAGAATTTTATTGACTGCTACTTTAGAAGTTGTGAAATATTTCTTTTTGGTCTTCAACATTAAATTAAAAGAAAATATGAAGTATGTTATGTGATTTCCATTTCTAATTTTTAACAGTTAAGTTTAAGTATGTTTTTATATCTTGTAAATACGAATTTATTCCGTTTTAATTTAGGTTAAAAAATAATTAAAATTTCTGAACACTTTTTTAAAAAAAATTGCTATTCTTTTATTAATTATATTTTTATCACAATTATTAATTACAGTAAATTCAACACTAAAAAAAATATATTAATTAAGATGGTTAAAATAACAATGAAATATTTAATGGGGGGAATGCTTGAATTTAGAATAACAAATGGAAATGCTTGTGACATATTGAGTCTGTTTTTTATGCTATGGTATTTTGGAAAGAGATTAACACGTAATGCTTAGTTAGAAGGAGGAAAAAAAGATTAATAGATAATTTTGATTAATGGGTATGACGTGAAGCTGGCTGGAAGAACATGTTCTTACTTTATTATTTTAAATATCACTTGGTCTATTATGAAACATGTATAATATATTATATAATTTAAAATATCACAATCTTTTTCATTAAAATCATCTGATATTTGTATTTCAACGTTGAACTACCTGTTACTCGTGAAAAGTCACATTCAAACCTATAAAATAAAAGAGGAAAAAAATAACTTATTTTAACAGTTATTTAATAGAGAAACTGATTAGTTGTAAACATTTTATTTTCACTAACTTCAAAACAACAAGTTTGGATTAAAAAAAATAGTCTGAAGGATTCATAATCTATATCAATAATCTAAAAATTATAGCAATTGTTTAATTTTTTTTTTTGTTCCTTATTTTTCGCTAAAACCTGTACTTTACATTCTATATATATAGCTATACCTTGTTAGCATTTTTTTTATGTCTCTTGCTACAATAACTGATTTTTATTTTTTATATATTTACATGTAGTATGTGAGTAGGAAAATGTTTAGGTTGACTTCAAGCTATATTCAATGAATTTTGAATGCCTTATTATAAAATTAGTATTAATAAATTTATACTAAATGTTAATACAAGTAATATGTAAGTTGCAAGTTACAAACTAATACAGCTTTCTCCTTTTCTTACTTGGTCAACCTCATTTATTGACAACTTCAAAAGTCAAACTTAAAAAAAAAAAAAAAAAGTGGTCAAGTTTAGACGGTGAGGAATAAATAAACAAATAAATGCTTTGTAATTGGGTGGGGACATGTCAATTTGATGAAATATGTTATTCTAGTAGCACTACTCTCTCTTATATTAAACATATATAAAATATAAAAAACCATTAATATTTTAAATAAAAATATATTCTTTTTTTCTCAATTTTTTTATATCTTTAAATTGATACAAATAATTTTTAATTAATAATTTATATATTATAATATTATTAAGGTTAATATTATTTATTTTAGAATTTTAATTTATTATATTTTTATATTTTAATATTATAAATTTACGAATGTATAATAATATAATATTTTAATCGGTAATTAATCAGATAAAAGAACTAAATCTACCCTGGATCTCATCATAAATATTAATATACCTATGAAGAAGAGTTTATTTTAAAATTCTACTTTATAATAATTTTATTTTTAAAATATCACATAAATAAATTAAAAAATATTTATAATTTGGTCTCTTTATTATTATTATCATATAAATGATAACGTCATATATTATGGAAAGAAGACATATTTAAAAAATAATAATTTTATATTTAAAAATATAAAAAAAATATTAATTAAAGATACAACCACCAAAGCTCCAAGATTTTCCTATTTTGGACCTAGCGGGTTGGCCACTCTTAAATGTGCTGCCAGCTGCTATTACCAAACATGAATCATTAATAATATTATTATAAAAATAAACGCTTTATTCTATTCACGAAAATTTTAATAATTTACGAATTATTTCAAACCCACAACCTATAAATATCTTAACTTTTACTCTACAATGTGTTAATTTGATGTATAAAATTATTAATAATAAAAATGTCATAATCAAATAAGTTAAAAAGTAACTTTATTGTCTCAATGAAACCAACCAGGAACTAATTTAGCCACTATAAAAACTGGAAAGTTGTTGTCACTTTTTATAACTTTTTGTTACAAGCATAAAAACACAGCAAGTTCTAAAGATCAGTTTTATAAATTTTAAAAAAATTGATATAAAAATTACAATTTTTATATCTGTTTAAGAAAATTAAAGTTTTATAAAAAAAACATGCATTTTATAAAAAGGAAATATATTAATTAGTTATTTATATTTATAGTGTCCTAAATAGGCAACTTTGTTTTAAGGTCCCCGGGCCCGCCTATTTATAAAATTTAACCGCTATCATAATGTGTGTTCACATGCTGCAACTTGAGAAGGGTATTTAAGTCATTTATCAATTGATGACCTGTCTTTCTCTGCTATCCTCTCAAATCCTCGCATAAATTAGAGGAGGCGTGGATGCACTGTTTCCTCCCCTCTCCCTCAAATCTGCGCCTGCAAATCCTCTCATATCAGTTGCAACAAACGCATAACATCCCGCTTTTCTATTCTTTGAAACAGTAAATCACTTGCAACAAACAGAGGCTTAAGGCTCTGAAAAGGTTTTTGTTTTTATTTATTTTACCAATTTTAATTATTTGTGATGATTTTACACATTTATTTGGATATTTAGGAATGAATGGCTGATTCTTCTGTACACATATAGATTATATACTTATTATACAAAAAAAATTTAAATTTATATAAAATTATTATTTATTATTAATGAAAGCATTCCAATCTTATGTTATTATGAGGTAAATTTTCACATAGAAATATTATTAATTCTTAAAAGATTTCTTAATAAACTAAGAGAATAATATATATAAATTATTTTTAATCTAAATCTTAAATTATTCACAAATACATTTTATAATATTTGAATTGCAAATGAAATTCATTATAAAGTGAAAAATAAATAAAATATATGATATTATGTATTACAGCATCTCAGAAAAAAAAATGGGCCACTCATTTCAATATTAGTACTCTCAGTTTTTTCTTTAATATTATGAAATATATTTTATTATTAATAGTTCCAGTTAACAAAAGAATCCATTGCAAGCGATGAAACCGCCCCATGGCTTTCACATCCTGCGCCGACTAATAATATACCTGCTTTTGCGATTGCATTTAAAACTGACAAAACACATTAAGTGAAAATAGACATGTGAGAAAAATAAAATAAAAATATATTATTTAATTCAACAGAAATAAAATAAATTAAAAGTTTCAAAAGTTAAAAATAAAAACCTAGTTTGTTATACTACGAAAAATAATGTTATATGTAAACTCCCAAAAAAAAGCCCTATATTGTCAAACTTGTATTTTTCTTTATTTTTTTTCTGAAAAAAAAGAGCTTATATTTTTAGCTGAACTCCTGTAAAACTGAGTCTTTCTTTCAGAGATGAAGAGAGTATTTTTCTTTATCGTCTAAATATATTATAGTTTTAGCATTTAAAAAAAAATCATTTAGGCTCTAAGTATATATAAAAATGTATACTTCCCGATTAGTTATAAAAGATATTTTATGACAAAATGAAATGTTTAAAAATTAATTTGATATTTTTAGTTATAATGTTAAAATCTAATATATTAATTGTAAAGTGTATGGATTATTGTATCATTAAATTATACATATAATTATCATATTTTGTATAATTTTTTTATACATTAAGAACTAAATTAAAGCATTTTAACAAAACAAAATTGCTAACGATCAACATATTCTACCATCAAAATCATCAATTAACCTGCAAGTTGAGATGAAAAACTGCATCAAATATTTTTATATATATATTTTTTGTCAACTTCTTCCATGTAGGTTTTACACTATCTCGTGATCTTGGAAATTTTAACGAATACGTACAAGGATGTAATAATTTGGGAATGCTGGTCAATTATTTAAAAGAAAAAACCAATTTTGTAATGAACACATCGAATCTAAATCAAACAGATCTTACACTACTCATAAATGGCCTTGTCTGGCGAAGGACCGTTCCATCGCTCATAAATATTGTTTCTAGTTTCATCTTTCTTTCAACCCACTTTCACAGAGAGATTCAGCAAAATAGAGAGAAGAACATGGCAAATGAGAACGGTTCGTTGAACTCCAACCCAACAATGGACACCAGGGGAAAGACCATCACTTGCAAAGGTTCGTAATAACCCACACACTTTTTGCAAGAAAATTAGCAGCAACACACAAATCCCTTAATCTCGCATCTTAAATTTTTCAACATCGCATTCTATTTTCATGCATATGGGTGTGTTGTTATCTGTCAGCTGCTGTGGCCTATGGTCCTGGAGAACCCTTCGTGGTGGAAGAAATTCTTGTTCATCCACCTCAGAAATTGGAGGTTCGAATCAAAATCCTCTACACGTCCATTTGCCACACCGATCTCAGCGCTTGGCGAGGCGAGGTATCAACGAATTATGAACAAATTAATCTACATATTTTAATTTGTCTATTTTAGTATAGTGTATGATCGCTTACAATTCATTAAAACCATATAAAAATATGTTTGTCTCATAGTTCTTCGTTTTGTCTTTTCCGTTGTCCCTCTTATGGTCAACCAAAGAACGAGTCTCAGCGTGCTTACCCTCGCATCTTCGGGCATGAAGCATCCGGGTAAGTAAGACATAGACTAATGCATTTTTTTAAATTATATTATTGGTGGATCATCCTTATGTCATATCCAGATTGCAGAAAACAGTGAATAGTACAAGATTCAAACTGTAGAACATTAAATTAATGTATTTTTTTACATTATCTCTGTTTAAAATTTCATTGACTTTTTCTAATTTACTATTTTATTCAAAATTCAAAATAGAATATGGTTTTGATCGAAGTTTGATGAATTTGTAGGATTGTGGAGAGTGTGGGAGAAGGGGTGAGTGAGGTGGAGGAAGGGGACGTGGTGGTGCCAATATTCCATGGGGAGTGTGGAGAGTGTTGCTATTGCAAGTGCGAGAAGAGCAACATGTGTGAGAGGCATGGGGTGAACCCCATGAAGAAGGTGATGGAAGATGGCACAAGCAGATTCTCCACAGTTGATGGAAAACCCATCTTCCATTTCTTGAACACCTCCACGTTCTCCGAGTACACGGTGGTCGACTCCGCCTGTGTCGTCAACTTTCATCGCTCCGATCACACTCTCGCCCTCAAAAACCTCACCTTGCTCAGCTGTGGCGTCTCCACAGGTCAGTCAAACCCACATACTTCTAACCTTTCAACTAACCACGTCTTTTCATTTTTCAACAACATTTTCTCACATTAATTCATAAATTTCACATATTCATAAACCTTTATTTTTTTTATTTTTACATCTCTATCTTCTTTTCTATGATTTTAGTTATTATATTTCTTTCTCTATTTTTCCTTTTTATTTCTCTCTTTTCACCTTTTCGTTGCTACGTTTATATAATAAGAGGAACAATGTAAAAATAAAATAAAATTATGATGATATAGTTTTTATTTAATTAAAGAGAGAATAGAAAAAACAACAGAAAATATAACCGTACATTCTAGAATAAACATAAATAGATATACACAATTTTCCGATATATTTGGGCTTGAGTTCATTGTGTTTATTAAGTATTAACATTATTTTTTTAAAAAAGAAAAATGTTAAACAAGTGGTTTTTAAGGTAGAAATTAAAAAATAAAATAACCATTTTATTGAAAAACAAAATATTCATTACAATATAAAAACTATTAAGAATTAAAATGTCTATTTTTAATAATATTTTAAAAATACTTATTCGGAAACCTATCAATTTCCACTGATTAACTTACTCGAATAATAATGTTCCGCCATATTTTTTATCTCTTTTTTTAATGGGGTAGAGTAAAATTATTTTTCATTAAGATTTCATGTATACATAGAAAATATTTTCTTACAGCTAAAATAGAAATACGTTTTTACTGTCTTATTTTTATTTTGAAAGAGTGCTTTTTAATAATAATAATAATAAATATGAGATAATGTAATGAAGAAACATTGTACGATGAATTTGACATCCTCCATTGCCTACGAATGTTTTATTTGTTTTGTTGTGTATTTGTGTATTCATTTTTCAATTTTCAAAATTTCACGTCTCATTCTATTTTAGTAATATTTTTGAAAGTTGTACAATATCATCTTAATCTTTAAAAATATTTTTGGTTACGACAACATTAAAAAATAAACAAGTACAGGAATTTTCTTTTCTTTATGAAAGGACAATTCTTTTTGAAGTGGAAAAGTGATTATAGACTCGAAAATTTGGAGTTATATGAAATGAAAATATCCTTTCCTTCCATTCTGAGTGTAAAGTTTTAAAGGGAGATAGGGAAGCAGTAATAAATGAGTCCAATGTAAAAAAATAAAAGTAAAAATAATTTACCTTTATATCATATATTTATTTTTAAATATATATATATAATATTATTTTAAATTAATCAACCTGAAAACTAGCTCAGTTTATTTTTTTTTCATTCTCATTATTTTCTTTGACTTTCTTTTCATTAATCTTTAAAAGTCATTTTCTAAAAAGTATGCAGAAAGTATATAGAAACCGTGGGTGGGCAAGCGCTCTGGTACTTGTGATGAGGAAAAAGGAGATAAAAGACAAATCATTGACAAAATGAGTTTTGTCGTGTTATTGGCACTCTACTAACACTTTCAAACTTCAATTATATATATATATTTTTAAAAAAGTATGTTTTTGTTTATAATTATTAGTATATTTTTTAATTGATAAATTTAACTTTTTAATTTTAAAAATACATATTTTATTAAATTTGATATATATATATATATATATATATATATATATATAATTTAGACACTAAAACATTATTTATCAAAAATTTTAAGGATTAAAAATATAATTAAAAAAACCTCAAAATATTAAACTTTAACATTTATTTAGACTTAACTTAAAGATTTAATAATGATTTTTTATTCTCATGAATTTTACACAACTAAATTTATATATTTAAAAACTAATTAATAAATTTATAAAATATAACAACCAAAAATAATTTAATTAAAAATATAAGAAAAAAATATATATGTAATTTTTCTTACAATATATTTTTTATAAAATTTTAATATATATATATATATATATTAGTGTAAAAATAGTTTTATATATTTATACTAATATAAATAATTATCAATCAAGATTAAAAATAATTATAAGTTTTATATAATTATAAGAGAAACTTAAAATACTTATATATAATAGTATAATTATAAGTTTCACTTTACTTAAATCGAGATTAAAAATAATTTTTTATATTTTTTAAATTAATCAATAAATTAAAATTTCAAAAGAATAATATCTCTAAAAATTAATTTTAATAGATATTATAATTCCCTACCTATAATTAATATATCCTTTAAAATAATAATTATAATAATAAATTTATTCTGTAAAATTATTTGTATGGAACCACGACATAAAATCATAAAACGTACTTTTCTTTTATATTATTTTACGTTTCATTTATCTCTTTATTTCATGACATGGATGGAAATATAAGGAATGAGTGTTACTAAAATTTATTTGGTTTAATATGTTTATAAATGTGAAAAAGAAAAATGTATTATTGAAATTTGGATATATGAAAATAGAAAAATTTCATAAGACAGCGGGTGATTGGGTATAATGGAATGGAATTGTGATAACGAAGAATTGATATGTGATTGGGATTTGTGGAGAGATAATTAATGCTTTTTGTGGAGGTATATGTATAATCTGAAAATAGAGAGATATTTGAATAATATGAATGAAAGAACATAAAAAAGGGTTTGTGATGGATTGAAGGGGTTGGAGCTGCATGGAATACAGCAAATGTACAATCTGCTTCAACAGTGGCTATCTTTGGTTTAGGAGCTGTTGGCCTGGCTGTAAGATTTTCCTTTTCCTTCTCTTTGTCTAATTATAATTATTTCCTCTTATCTAGATTTAAATTCATTTTTTAATAATATGATAAAAAAATTCTCTTCAAAAATTATGATCAAATTTTACGTTAATTAAATATATGATAGCAATATTTTTAATAATATAATGTTTATTTTTTACCTTAAAAATGTTTTTTTTTTAAATATGAAAATGGGACTGATTCATGGATCACCTATCAGCTAACCCTAGGACTGCCAAACTCGTCAGTCTCATAGAAATATGAAAAAGTAGAAGCATTCAAATAGGGGCCATTTTTCTTCTTTTTTGTTTGACCTCTCTGAAATATTACTACTATTTCATTGGGCAGAAAAAACCATACGTAAATATTATTTAGTATAAAAATGAGTAAAAAATAATTTATTTACTATTACTAATATTATGTTTAGTTATTCATTTATTATTATAATAAAAACGTAAAAGTAAAAAATATTATGTGTGTTATATAATCAATTATTACTGTAAAAATACTTTAACTTGTTTCATTTTGATTACATAATTTACAATATTATATTATTTTACGTGAACGACTTTCACACGTTTCTTTTGTCTTTTATGTTCAGAGTTTTAAGGTAAAATCTACTTCTTTCTCTGTTTTTTTCTTTTGTTTGTTCTTTATTTTTTCCACACACGTCTTCAATTAAATCACCTAATCTTTTCCATTACTCTCTTTTATCACCTCTTCCTCCCTTGTGACTGCAAGAAACAAATGCCATGTTATTAGTCTTGATTTAGAAGTCAAAGGGAAAAATTGAAAGAAAGAGTAAGTTGAGCTGGATGAAAATAAGAGAATAATAATAATTTATAATTTAATTAATTAAAAAATTAAATAAGTTTTAGAGTCTTGTAAATCAAAGTTCTTTTAATCAACATACATATATCTAGGTTGCAGAAGGGGCACGAGCCAGAGGCGCCTCTAAAATAATAGGTGTTGACATCAACCCTGATAAATTCATCAAAGGTAACTAATTTTCTTTCATTTGTTATTATTCTATCTTAGGCATTGTGTGAATAAATTAGTTTAACTTATAGATAAGTTTAACCAAACAGGTCTTTAAGTTTCCTTTGAAAGCTTTATTTGAAGCCTTAAACTTCCTTTGTTTTCCCACAGTGAATAATTTCCCTTGTATTGTAATTTATAATTGTGTTCTCTTTTTGCTCAAAGCCCAAGGCATGGGAGTCACTGACTTCATAAACCCAAAGGATGGAGAGAAGCCTGTATACGAGGTTGCCATTTTCTGTCGTCTCATTTCACAAAATAAAATATCATACACATGCATTTTCACTAACAAGTTTTTTTTTTTTTTTTTTGCAGAGAGTAAGAGAAATAACTGATGGAGGTGTAGACTACAGTTTTGAATGCACTGGAAACCTGGAGGTTCTAAGGGATGCATTTTCTTCTGCTCATGCGGTATATGGCTGGCTATGTTTAAGCTAGTTTTTTTATTAAACTCTTAATTGTGGTTTTAGTTTCATTGTAAAATTAATGTTTCAACTATGTTTTATAAACTTATTCCTTTACACTTTCCACCTTGGTGTCAAATTTTGTGCCACAGGGTTGGGGATTGACTGTAATATTGGGAATTCATACATCACCAAGGTTGCTTCCCATTCACCCGATGGAGCTCTTCGATGGTCGCAGCATCACAGGATCAGTATTTGGAGGTTTCAAAGGGAAAAGTCAGTTGCCTCATTTTGCCACACAATGTGGAAATGGAGTAAGGATCATCGCTAGCAATATCCTTTTACAAAGAATTTAAAATCATGCATGGACTAATATTTATTTGTTATGGCGTTGGCTAATCATTTAGGTGGTGAAGCTGGATCATTTCATTACCCACGAGCTACCCATTGAGGAGATAGACAAAGCGTTCGACCTTTTGATCGCAGGGAAATCACTGAGATGTATTCTGCACTTTTAAGAAAGATGCCCTTTAGGGATGGCTGAGAATAATGATATATCTGAATTTGTTCAATAGGAGCATATTTAAAAATGAATGTGTAGTAGTCTGGTTAAGGTCTGAGGGTGCTTTTGAACAGTGTGCTAGAGCCAAGAAAGAGAATAAATGGAAGTGTACTCGGCTTTGTTTCCCACCCAGTCTGAAACCACCATACATATGCACAAATGTAAAAGGTGAACTGGGAACAGTTCATGAGTAGCATTTTTTTCATATTCTATCGCCAAGTAAAACATACCAGAAAACTTGCAGCTAATAATGAATTATATAGCATTTACATAGCACCTAGCTAAAACACATTCTACAAAATTTCAGCCAATGGATGCAGAAGCATTGGCAGATGGATGATTATAATCACTTCTCGCACGTATATGAAAAATGACACCCTCACCTAATGAGAAGTTCTATAAAGACAAGTATTAATTCCAAAATTTTTTCAGGGAGAAAACCAGCTAAAACAAGACCAATTTGAAGTTCAGTATCATTGATTGTTAGCGTTCTTGTGCTTGATGCGATTTTCCTCTGCTATTGATTGAAATTCTTTCTCACTAGCAGCAATTAGGCGCTTAACAATGTCGTATGTGGTAAGCTTGATGCTTCAGTGAAAAAAAAGAAGATATTAGAAACTAATGACATGAAAGTACAGACTCAAGGTGTCAAAATGGAAAATCCGGATAACGGAAAGAATATGAGCATTGTTAAAAGGTAACAGGGTCAATATATATAATCTTAGTTCAATTGACAATAGAAGATCCAAAGAACCTGCTGTTAGGTAGGGATTTTAGTGCATTGGGCACAAATCCCCGATACAACCCAGCAATTCCATCTCGAGCCACAATACCTGCATCAACAATAGTATATAAATTTGTTCATTATGTCATAATTTTATTTTTATTTTTTTCAAAATTTTCATTACTTCAATTAATTCCATCTTTATGGCCAGCTGATTTTAGTTTGGAATTGATTGGACAAATTAATCCGTACTTGTCTTCACTGAATGAATGTGACAAATAACTCCGATAAACTACAAGTAGGCATATCAATTACATGCCTGAGCAAGCATCTACGAAGTTCCTCTCATATGATATAATACCAAAATTCAAATAACATATACCATCAAGTACATACCCTCCTAGCATTTCAAGGCAAAAATTAACGAAAAGCAACTACTGGACAGACAAATACATTGGCTGACCTCAGCCGATTAAAGTAACCATCAGTAAAAGTGGAAAGTGAAATGATTTTATAACTTGATGGCTAGAAAATAAAGTTCAAATTTTTCTTTGTTCTTTTAGATTGTCTAGAAGGTAAAATCAAAGAAAAAATAAATATAGAATGATACAAGTATCCTAATAAAAGAGATAAATATACAGAAATAAGGGTATCTTCTAAAAATAAAAACAACCTTTCCATCTCATTTGGGTTCAGTTTTGAGCAAATGTGATAAAATTCAGCGAGTTATATATTTTTCTGTTCTGTGACTTTTAAAACGCTCCAAATGGATGGAGCATTATCACATGCCTTTTCCATCCCTCTATAAGATGTCCTTCCAGACTTCAGTTTCAGCAGTTCCAAACAAAGCATAAAGAATTATAAATTCAAAGCTTCAATAAGGTGACCTAATTGCTGCAGCTACAAACCCAAACACAAGCAGATTTTTTAATATACTGCCCTTGTAAAGTTCTGCATTCTAATGTCAAATAACCACTATAGCTTATTTGTCACTAATGTGCATGCAAATCTAGTGAGTGATTTATAGTGCTGATGCTAAAATGTAAGCAGGAGCAATCCTCACCCGAAAGAGCATCTAATACTGTCTTGTAAGGTGTACCCTTCAATTGCATCTGTCTTCGAACAGTGTCCAGAGGATAGCATGTAAGTGTGGCAAGAGATGCCGAAAGGACAGCTGTGAGTATAGATGTTTCAGTTCTCTTCTGGTATTTCTCAGGCAATGACTTCTTTAATCTGTCATCCGTAGAAAGTCAGGATTTTTCAACTTCAATGTTCAAGTTCAGTATCTCTCAAATTTAATTATAAGATATATGATTATTAATGAGCTTACAAGTCAAAAACGCAAAAATTTACTGCAATATAAGGGGCTATTGCAATTAAAGAAGGCCCAAGGCCACGATAGAAAGATGCATATCCTTCCTCCCTTAGCATGCTCAAAGCAACCTGGAGAAGCCACCATATGGTTCATTGTCACAGAGGCAGATATTGCTTAAATACTAAATCAGTTCAATCATACCTCCGACATGGTTCGAGAACCGGGTTCAACAGCTAATCGCAATCTTAGAACATCTAATGGGTAAGTTATCTACATGGATATAATAAAACATCAGATATATAGATGGATAGTTGGACACATTAATAAAAGATATGGGCAAGATATAAAAAGAGATATCAGTAGTATTATAAATATCTTCAACAAAAACAAGAACACCAAAATCCAAAGAAACCAAAAAGCAAGGGCCATCTAATTACTCACAAAAGTGGATGTCATTCCAGCAAAAGCACCTGCTGCAAGTCTGCCCACAACAGAGAGCTCACCATTCTCTCCTCTGAATATTTTCTGTGAATCCAAAAGTAGAGATATTCAGACACGAACAGGTAATATTTGCTATTAGGACTTCATAGACAACAGTGTGGGGTAACCTTATAAATTTCATATGCAAAAAGCTGGACAGCACTGTAAGGTACTACTCGAATCACCTGGAATATTAAAGAAGAAACACTAACACAAATGAAAAGACTGGTCAATATAATGTGATGTAAATACAGAAATACCAATTCATTCTTTCCTTATTGAATAGACCTGGGGGAGGTTGCCCTTCCAGTAACCTTGAATGCCTTCTTCTTTCCCTATAACAGCTATGGCCTGTAATTTATGACATTGTGAACAGAGAGATTAAGGAGGGCAAACAAAACATCATCAAGCAAAGAGTTTGGTGAGGGTAAAAACCATTTTTAGTGATTAAAATGAAATTAGTCAATTTAAATCCTTAATAACATTAGGTAACCGGTGATGAAAGTAACATACTACTATTACAAGATGGCTACAATCACAAACAGCAATATTATCAATTACTGGTCAGAACAACATGCAGATAAGTATATAATACAATTATCATCATATGACCACCTTGTTACACTTTCAACTAAAAAGGACTTTCACCAATTGGAATAACTAATATGTATAATATATAAACAAAGACAATGGAGACTATCAAGGTATAGAACTCCTCGATGTAACTCCTGAAATTCCTTCTGTCAAGTGTCTTCTAGTTTTTTATTTCAGGTTTGAGTTTGTTATAGGCAGAACCATGTGGCCTAGAGTTTGATCCGTTGTTCCCATTCTTCTAAATTTTAGGGTGATCCATTGTTTACACTTCAAAGCCTAATGGGTTTTTGGGCAAGGAGACATGTTAATATAAAATAATTATTAAACTTTACCCAATAACTTTAGCTTTTGAGATTGTTGATCTGTGGTAGTGGTTGAAGAGAAAGATAACTTCTAAAAGCAAGAGTTCTCTTATGTACTAACACAACAATACTCCGCATGAAAAATGAGACTCAGAGTAAGAACCTATTCTTGTAGTTCCTTCTTGTACTGATAACTTGAGGAACCCATTATTTGTAATCAATTAAACTTGATATACAAATTATGAAACCCAATCTCTTTCTGTCAAACTCGCATTCATCTTATGAAGGTATAGATGATAAAGATATATGTAGTTGTCAATGAAAGCCTAAGTAGTAGCATAATACTTCCTCACTTTACCTTATCATAGCATATTCGGTTAGTGAAAAATACACCCTCCGATGAACCAATTTCCCGAAGAGATGCCAAACTAGTCAAATTTACAAAAGGAAGAGTGTAGGAAGCACCAAAGCAGATAAAAACACAGGATGAACAAAAAGCACTCAACACTAGACAATTATGATATAATCACAGAAAAAATGTAAAAGATGGAACAACATTACCTCAATGAAACTCATTGCCTTCTTGGCACTAACTTGTCCAGCCCGCACGCCATGAGTCTGCAATACATAGTGATTCGGATTAGGCAAATTAAAAACTTGTCTGTAACATATCTTGATTACAATTATTATAAACATACACGCGCTTCCATTTTCATCTTATATCCACCTCATTTCTTTGTTCCTTTCCCATGACATTGACATAACATCTGTCACTTTCTCTCTCTACTTTTGTTCTTTCTTCTTTCTCTCTCTTTTTTCTACCCTCTATCTACCCCTAAATTTGGTTGAAGTTTAACATTTTCCTTTTAATTACAAAAGGATGTCTGGATTCTTCTATGTTTTCATTTGAGTCAACCTGTTTTCATTACCATCTTATTTTTCATTTTGTTTCATATTTCCAACATTTTCTGAAAGGAAACAGTCGGAACAACACCTCCTTGTTTTCAGCATCTGATTAGTGTAAAATCTCACTATAAGCAAAATAAATCGAATCCAAACACACACATAACACCAATTCCCAATAACAAGGAATACAAACTAAAAAAAGCAGAAACATTTACGATTACAAAGAAAACCCATTAAACGCTGCGTTTGACTGATAATTTCAGTCAGCAAGTCCTTGAAGTTCAGTCGGTTAGCAAAAATAAAATAAAAAAAATTGACGCACCTGCATGAGGAGCTTGATGCGGTCGAGCGGCGCGGTGACGGTCTTGGCGGCGGCTCCGGCAATGGCTCCGGCGGAGAAGAGGGCGGCGTCGCGCGGGACGATGGCGAAGGCGGCGAGGGGGTGCTTGAGGAGCTGGGAGGGCGTGGGCATGAAGTCTGGTTGCAGTTTGGATTGGGCAACGGAGACGGAGGCGAATTGGGATTTGACGGTGGCCGTGGCAGTGGCGTGACTGAAGCGGGGAAGAACAACGTCGTATTTGGGAGTGTGGGGGATTTTGCGCCATGTGAGTGTGGCTCTCTCCTCTGTGTGAGACACGGAAATAGGCATTGCAAGAGACGGAGATGAGATAAGGCGCTCCGAGAGAAAGGTTTTGTATATTCATTGATGCTAAAGAAACCAACTACATTTTATAATAGCCAAAACGATAGATATTAATTGAAATTGGAAAAAAATAATGACACCAAATAAGCCACTTTTATTAGACATAAATGTGTGTTAGGTAAGATTTAAATTGTTAGGTTAGAACTTAACTCAAGTAGAAGGTATTTTATTTTAAAAAATATTCGGAGAAATATTAGTTGAATATAAATTTTATGAATTAGTAAAATTAAAGTGAGTTTTTTATATATAACTTTTTTTAATTTAAAAATATAATGTGCAAAAAAATATGTTCATTGATAAATAATTTTTTGATGAGAATGTTTTAAATAAGCATTTGATGGACTCAGTATGATAATGAATTGAAGCAATTGTACAGTTTTTGTGGATGACAAATAAAATTTGAAGATCCAAGTTTGCATGCAAAAGTTGTTGGCATGCAATTTTAGGTGACATCTATTGAACATACAAAGACAAATATCGAACATAAAACAAGGAATCTATGTAAGAATTGAAGCTTCCAAGACAGAATAAGAGATTTTTCTGACGGGATAAAATGGTTTTGTTGAAGATGAAAAATCAATAATCCATAGGGTTTTATTTTAACTTAATTAATTTTATACAACACTACTTTTATTTTATTTTTTTAGTTTACTTCATCTTTAATGTTTTTAATATCCATAACGTTGCTTTTAAATCACATACAAATAGAGGCGATGGTGAGTGTTTCCAAATTTAATAAAATCTATGAAAATTAAAAATGCATATTAAATTATGAACTCGACTTTCTAAAATTCCTACTCATCCCATTTTCTACATAATCACGAGTTAATGTTATAAGAAATTTATATATTTGCGACGTGTATACATGTTAACGATCTTGATATATTATAAATAAGACTTTAGTATTTTTTTTATTGGATAGTGAATATGAGGGAGTGTAAAAAGTAAAAAAGAGGATAAAAATTGGAGTGGTTTAGATTAAAAGAAATGAGTGGAAAGTTAAATTAATTAATTTATTATTAATAAAATTTTATTATTTTATTATAATTTTTTTAATATAATTCTTTAATTATTTATTATTATAATAAAAAATAAATATATATTATAATTATTATTATTTTAATATAATATTATGTATACAAATATTAATATTTATATACATAAACAATGATGCACGATCACATAATTGATTATATAAAAAAAATCATTTTTTATGTTTTTCTTTCTTTTACTGTGAAATTTGTTTTCTTATTTTATAATTTTTTTTACATTAACATACGTGAATGATCATATTTATTCATATCTCATATTTTCGTTGTTGGAAACAAATACACTATTAATCTTTTGTTTGTGTATACTGTAGTCAAGGAAACGAGGGAGGTATCACTATTTGCATATGTTGAATTGAGGATATTTAAGAGAAAATTAGAGGAGTAAAGTTTCAACATATCTACCATCTCTTATAAAAAAAATGCATATAATTGAGATGAAGTGACCATGTGCAATTACACGGTAAAACTGTCCATTGCAGTCTACAACAACATGCACATTGAATCATAGTGGTGTTGTACTATTCAGAAGTTGAATAACATCTTGTGAGGAAAGGGTTATTTGTCCATAAATACATTCATTCTCGTAAGTAAAGGTTGTGATTTTCTTCTTCCTCCATTCTCATCATCCATTTCCAATTTGAATGAGTTCTTTTGTCCGAGTGAAAGAAGGATCGAACAAGAGCAGTTATATTTGTTGGTCTTCCAGCTGCATTTGTTGTTTTGTAGTTGTATTTGAAGTTGTAGTAGTTATTCCAGCTAAAGGAATGAAAACTATAGTCAAACCTCCTACCACATCTTTAACAAGTTTATGAGTTCAAGTAAGTAAATTCACTCGTAACTTTGTTAAAGTATTTATTGATGGTTGAATGGTTGATTGTTTATTTTTACTTGTGTTGAACTGCAAGAAGGATATTGTTATATCAACTCATTTTTAAGTAATATTTCATAAATTTTGATGTTAGATTTTGGAGATTATTATGTTCAATTGGATAAATTTGAAGTTAAATTTCAAAGCTTATAAGTTTGATTTGAGAAATTTGTTATCAGATATTCAAAATTAGAACTTAGATGGAGTACATTTTAAGTTATATTTAAAATCTTTTAACTTGTATATGAGAAAATTGTGGCTAAATATGCAAAATTAAAAATTAGATTTGATTAATTATAAGTTAGATTAGATACCTTTTAGGTCGCATAATATGTCATTTGAAAATCATGTTAATTTTAAGTTTTTATTTGTTATAATCCAAAAAACAAAAACAAAAACTTGAGAGATTATCTTTTGTTAATAATAATAATTAATTATAGTATAAATAATTGTCAAATTAGTGCTAAATTTAAATTTAATAATTAATATTTTGTTTAGTATTTTATAAATTGTCTAGTAGGATATTAAATTTTAAAATAAGAAAAAAATGAGAGTTAATATTTTTTAGTAATAATAATTAATTAAAATATAATTAATTACCAAATTAGTGCTTAGTTTAGATTTAGAAATAAATTTTATTTTTCTATTTTATAAATTTTCTATATTAATACATTAAATTTTAAAATAAAAAAATGTGAGAGGTAATTTTTTTAGTAATAACAATTAATTAAAATATAATTAATTAACAAATTGTTCTTTAGTTTAGATTTAGGAATATATTTTATTTTGGTATTTTATAAATTATATATGATAGGACATTATTGAGAGGATGATATTTTTTTTAATAAAATTTAATTTAAGTTTGTTAAACAAATGACATCTAGAGGGGTGAATAGATGCACAAATTAAAATAGATGTCAAATTAAAAATTTATTTGTGAATCAATAGTTTGTTTGAACACAGATAAAACGGGAGCAATAATATAATCAGGAAAAGAGAAAGAGAGAAGAGAAAAAGAAGAGCACACAATAATTTATACTGGTTCGGGTATAGTTAACCCTACATCCAATTCCCAGTCAACTCTAATTACAAGAGTGACTCCCAATTCACTATCTTTTAAATTCAGTTCACAAATTACAATCAACTCAGCAGAGGAACTAGTAAAAAGTAAACTAATTCAAAAGACAATCACCTCCTTAGACACCCATTAAGGATGAACATTTCCCTAGAATCCCACTAGGGATAAACACTCCTCTAAACAAATCAAAGGATGAACACACCTCCTTAAAATCTCACTAAGGATGAACATCTCCCTAGAATCCCACTAGGGATGAACACCTCCTTTGAACAAATCAAAGGATGAAACAAAACCACACCTCCTAGGAACAAAACAAGGGATGAAACAAGATCACACCTCCTGGGAACAAAGGATGAAGGTAATAACATAAGAACAATCACCTGGGTAATGGAGACAACAAATTGTAGAAGCCTGTAGAATGTCAACCTCCAAGAACAAGTGTGATAAACAATGAAAACACAGTAGACAATGGAGTAAAGGATTTTGGTAAAATACCTTTATGGCCTTGCTCAGAATTCTTTTCTCAAAATTGATTGAATGTGAATTGTATTCTCGAATTCTGTAATTGTGTATTTTTTTTATTTTTCATCAAAACTTAATTAAATAGAAAAATAACATCAGAAAATAGTCGTTGGTCATTAATAATATCATAGAAAAAATCATGATGTATAAAAAAACATTTATTCTTCAAAACGGGTATATTTTTTAAATTTGAATTGGCATAATTGATTATGTTACCAGTATAATCAATTATGACAGAGAATATCATTTTTCCATTTTTGATACATCATAATTGATCATGATAGTGAAAAATGTCATGTTATGAAATTTTATCACACTTGTGCTTTGGAGGTTTAAGCATAATACCACTTCATCAACTTGTACCTTCATATCCAGTATTCTAAGACTCTATCTAGTCTTCAAGAATCATTTTGGGCTTGCTTGAATCATCATCTTTATCAAAAACATATCTTGGGCATGTAAGGAAATGTTTTACATTTTCACCAACATTTTAAATTCAGCTTATCCTTAATTCATCTTAAATGGTGTTGACTTGAATGTAGTTGACTTGAATCATCATCAAAAGCATCTCTTGGGAATGTGGAGACATTTCACTCAATCTCCCCATCATTGCTTTCAATCTCCCTCTTTTTTATGATGATAAAGGAAATACCTGAAATGAATTAAAATGCTTGACTCTATATAGTCAGCTCAAGATTAACACAATATAGTATCAAGTGACAGAGTCTCTTAATCTCTCCTTGGATATATTAATAACAAGACTCCCCCTAACTCATATGAGTAAAGACTTCTCTTAACTCCCCCTATTTAATTCAGATATAGGAATGAATTTCACACAGATTTTAATTCATAAAAAATCTTCCCCTGTTTCATTGATTATCATAAAAAATATTTTAAGAAGAAAAATTTTCCCCCTGTTTCACGCATATTAATATTATCAAAATCTCTCCCTATTTCATTGATAATTATGAAAAAATATTGCAAGGGAAATTTAACACAAATTTGCATCGATTAACACATAAACCAAGGTAGAGAAAATAATGCATTACAAAGTGTCATAGAGAAGAATATCATATTAAAGAGGCAATATCTAGGATACCCAAGTAGGGGTGTCAAAGGGAGCCAACCCGGCTCACACGGGTTGACTCACCACGAGTTGAGCTAAAAATAGGTGAGCTTAACCCGACTCATTTTTTGGCAAGCCAGAAATTTTATAACCCGACTCAACCCACCAAGGGTTGGTGGGTTAGGTGGGTTGGCTCACTAACCCATATTTTTTTAATTTTTTAAATTATATAGAAACTTCAGATGTAAAAACTTATGCTTTCTTCTTTTTTTCTCAACATCAGTATCTTCGTTATTAACTCGAAATTGGCTCATTGGGTTTTTCATTAATAATAAAATCATCATCAATACAATTTACATT